ACCAGAGTTCTGTCAGTGTTCTGTCAGTGTTCTGTCAGAGTTCTGTCAGTGTTCTGTCAGTGTTCTGTCAGAGTTCTGTCAGTGTTCTGTCAGTGTTCTGTCAGAGTTCTCTCAGAGTTCTGTCAGTGTTCTGTCAGAGTTCTGTCAGAGTTCTGTCAGTGCTCGGCACCGTCACATTTGAATCTATTTACTTTTGTTTTTCATCTGTTTCCATATTTTGATCTTGTACACTGGACCTCACTCTGTATATGTTGTTGCACCGACCCACCAGAACCAACTCCCCATATTGTGTAAACTATAGCTGGCAATAAATCTGGATCTGGTTCTGGTTCTGGTTTTAAGCAGTTGTCAACGCTGTGGCTGTGTTCAGTGAAATAATGAAAATATTAACTTTAGAAACTCACATGAGACCCATTACACAGCAACAGGGTCAGAGCAGAACAAGCCAAACCGGGCTTCTACGGGTCAGAGCCTGGTTTTATGTTTAATCCAGGAGCTGGTTGTTCATTTGACCCACACTGAGTGAAACCAGCTCCGCTGTGGGTCACGGTGACACATATACTAAGTCGTGTAATAATACAACCAAAATACATGATGTGAACTGATCCTGTCGGTCCAGTTAAGGTCAACAGAACCGATTCCAGGGGTATAAAGTACATCCGGTGTTGTCAGGAATCAGTGGAACCAGCTGATCTGCAGAACCTCAGTATATCTTACCTTTCTACACACTGACTGTAGGGTTTTAGTCCCTTATGTGTCTCCTCCATAAACGCCGCTAAGCGCTGACCGGGTCTGGTGCTGACATGGACCTGGTGCTGCCTTGGGCCTGGTGCTGACATGGACCTGGTGCTGCCTTGGGCCTGGTGCTGCCTTGGGCCTGGTGCTGCCATGGGCCTGGTGCTGCCATGGGCCCGGTGCTGCCATGGGCCCGGTGCCGACATGGACCTGGTGAACAGTGAACTTCTCCTGCAAACTCGTGAGGATTTAAACAAACTTCTGCAGCAGCAGAACCTTTAGCTGAGGTTGAGCTGAGCTGCCGGTTGGTTCGTATGGTGCTGATGAGGTGTGATGCGCGTAAATCAGGTGTCTTCACTGTTCACTGAACCTACAGGTGTGTGAACAGTGTGTGTGTGTCGAGGAGTTTTGGTGCTTGTACAGTTTGTTACAACAGTAAAGCTGTGTGGTTCTGATTCTGACCACCTGAGGGACGACTTTACAGCAACAACCAGGTGAAGGTTGAAGATCAGCGATCTTGTTCCTGCAGAAGCTGCTCTGCTCATCAGGTGGGTCCAACAGGAAGTGACCTCAGTGTGTTTGCAGGAGTTTCATCTACGCCTTCCTGACCAGAGGGCGACCCGTCCCGCTGATCATTGTCCTCTGCGCCACCGTCTTCTGCTCGCTCAACGGCTTCCTGCAGGGACACTACCTGCTGCACTGCAGCTGCTGGAAAGACACCTGGCTGACGGACGCCCACCTGGCTGCAGGTGAGCACCGTCACCAGGAAGCTCCAGCAGCACCATGTCTGACAGGTTTCTTTGGAATGTCGTCTCCTTTCCTTGGAACTGTTTTTTGTCTGTCTCACAGGAACTAGTTTTTCCTGTCAGCTTGGTGGGTGTCTGTGAATACTACATTACCCATGAGCCTCGCTGACATGGAGCAGAAGCTAGCACCAACTATACTAGACAAGCTAACTATGAGGACATTAGCCAACTGCTAACAGCCATAGCTAGCTGTTAGTGAAGTTAGTTATCTGTTAGCAATGTTTGCTGACTGCTGGTGACATTAGCTGACAATTAGCAACATTAGCCAAATGTGAGCAGCACAAGCTAACTGTTAGTATCATTAGTCAACTGTTAACTGTTAATGATATTGGTCAACATTAGCCGCATTAGCCAACTGTTAATGATGTTTGTCGACATGAG